GACATCTTTTTATTGTTTCAGGACTATTTAGATCAACTAAGAAAGGAGGGCCACAATAAGGAATGGTCAACACGCAGTTCAAGAAAACTAACAGCCTCTACATAAAGAATGCCATATGTTTAGACATAAAAACAACATTACATATCCAAGGAATATGTGTCAGGACTACTCAACAGATCATCTACTTTGAAATATAGACATAATCCATTGAAGATAAATGTCAATTATAGATTTACCTGGCCTTTTCTTGAGCCGAGTTGCCCCATAAAAGGAAAACAACTCCAGTTTTCTTATGTGAAATTGCTCGAATGACGGCATCAGTAAATAGCTCCCAACCTCTTTTTGCATGGGAGTTGGCTTGATGATGTTTCACTGCAAAAAGAAAAAGTCAGGAACAACCATATAAGGATCCACCATTTGACAAATACTAAAAGAATTCCTCTCTACAAGCTGAATAGATTGAGAGACAGCATTCAGAAAATATCAAATGCAGCAATAGCAGATGATGCATATTAAGCAGCTGATCCGTTATTACAATGCCCATTTTGGAAGAGCCAGTCATCTAAGGTATCAACTCCACTAAGATACCAACTATTCAATGAGTGAAAAAAGGGGCATTTTACAGAAATTTTACAACAATCCATTTCCAAATATATGGCTATGATGCTTGCATACTTGTACCACACTCAAGTGTTGATTAGACAACATATATTTCTCCTTGAATGCTAGAATGTTTTCAGTAAATATGTACCACTTCCAATAGGCAAACATATTGCAGCACTTAAAAGTCTATGAAAGATTAGCATTAGTGTATGCATTCAAGGACTCACTCAAAAGCAATTAAGACACCCAAGACACCTTCACAATATCCATACGCCTAAATATGCATTACGACCATGGCAAGAAATAGAATGACAGTCATCAAGGGCTGTAGAAAGAAACGCACCAGTCAAAACAGCGTTGAGCAAAAGAACACCCTGAAACAAAGCATATTACATAAGATAGTTCCCAAGAAAATGCAACCTAATTCAGTAACAATACATCACAAGGCATTTAAGGATAATGAGCTAATAAATGAAGTACTAATTCGTGACAATTCACCGCCATGAGGAACATGAACTCAAAGCTTTTGGGACCACGAGGAAAGTCAAGGATAAATACATAAAACATTGACACAGGATCAGTATAGAATGTTGATAAGTACTAATTCGGGCATCAACTTCCTGGACTGCCATTCAATAATGTTAGGGAAAAAGCATTTCATTTGGCATTCCAGAAAGCTAGTACCAGGGAGTTGGGGGTTTTCAAGCTTTTGACTCTGCGTTTTCACAGGTGTATGCCTACTGCACTCGACCAAGCTTTCAAGCCCTCAACGAAAAAGCTTGAATTCTAAACAAAACACAAACAACCGAAAAACAGATGTTACCATGCCAACCACCAATTCTTGCATTATAGGGCAGCTCAGTCAAGGGTAAAAGCACCTTTTTATCACACTCAAGTTTCATACAAGAAAAAAAAAGCACCTTTTTATCACACTCAAGTTTCATATGAGAAAAAAAAAGCACCTTTTTATCAATCATACTCAAGTTTCATATGAGAAAACCTAGAGTCTAGGAAAATTTCTACCCCTCAGATGTGCACAGTTGGTCCATCATTCTTACCATAAGACATCACCCAAGATCACAATATGGAAGTCCACATTTTACTAATGGTTTACTAACTTTATAATTATGTAACCACTTTATAGACAGTTTAGTTTGAACAATGAAGTGAGAAGACAATCTTCAAGGTTTCCAGCATTCATAAATAAATATTTAAAATCAAATTATTAGAAATCAAAAACAAGGGTTAATATTGCAACTACTAGAGTCTAACAAAGGTCATCATTATGTATAAAAAGAATGAGCTTCGAACAAAACATGATTTGTCATAAAGAAGTTCAATATTAATAACACCATGTGAATTACTTAAGAGATCATGAGCACAAGCCTACCTGTACAGCCCATCGCTCAAGATTTCCATGAGATGGAATAGAGCAGCCCACATCTTGTTGAAGTTCCTTGAAGATATTGACTAAACTCGATGGAATCTTGACCCCTTGTGGCACTGAAAATGAAAGGCCCATTGCTTGCCCTGGTCCATGGTAGGGATCCTAAGAGAAAATCAAGCAAACTTTTGTTAATAATGACAAGGAGCAAGAAACAAAGATGTAACGTGTAACGTGAAGACAAATACAAACAATATGCGAATTATTTCAAACTGAAGTCTTAGGCATATGAAAATCAACAGAACACCAGAACAAGATATAAACAAAGAATCAACAGAAGTGCGTACAGAGGGATCCTCACAATGAATAGACCCAAATCCCACAATCAGGTTGAGTGACATTAACATATCTTCTTTATATAACCAATTTTCTGACCTCAACAACCAAAACCAATGCCCAATTTCAAGTCATACAACTAGACATCAGTAACATAACAGCATCATCATCTTACATAGGAACTGCAAGACTGGTTGCAAATGCTAAAAAAATGAGACATGAGTCCACATTAAATAACTTGCCATAATCTTGAACAGCAGTGTCTGTAAAAGAACATCAATTAATTATGGTCTACTTCATGGCATAATTCAGTCTAAATAGTTTAAACTAATCAAAATGTGTGGTATTGCTCTTGGATAGACATAAAAAAGCAAAAGGAAATCTTAAACCATGTCAATAAACAAACCTCATTGACAATAACATTCCGACATTCATAATCCAACTATAAACAAAAACAACCTGACATCAATCATAACAAACCCATGAGGACCAAAGAATACCTGACCAAGAATTACAACGTTCACCCTATCAAAAGGGGTCGAGTTCAAAGCATTGAAAATAAGAAATGGCGGTGGATAGATAGGTGTGCTTCCCCTTGCCTCTCGCCCCACAAACTCGCATAGATTCTTCATGTAGGGTTTCCCAAGCTCACCAGGGAGAGCTTCTAACCATGTTTTCTCCACCAAAAGCTCTTCTAACTTTACAAATGTGAGCCCCTCAGCTGATACAGCATATGAATAACCAATGATAAACATAATTTTTAAACAAAAATCATACTAAAACCGGGATGTTTTTCAGAGAATGGCTCAAGCTTTCCCAAACTGTAAAGCTAATTTAGGAGAACCTTAAAAAAATGCCCAAAACACTAAGACATTTATTACCCATCAACAGTTATCACCCATCAACATGAGAAACACCGAGAATTTATCAACTTTCAACGAGAATTCTTAAGCAGAGAAAGCTAGTTTTACATTCTTAAATCAGTTCGAAGATATATTCAAAGAGCTTTTTAAGATTATTTTTCACCCATTTCTGCCAAATTTCATGAATTTTCCCCAAATGTAGATTTTCAAGAAAGGTCGATTTCTTACACTGTGTAGCAGATGAAAAACTAAGGATAGAGAAAATGGAGAATAATCATATACCTCTGGCTTTCGAGACTCTTTCATTGCAAATGCGCAAGTTTCTCTTTGCAAGGGCAAAACACCGGTTGATTTCGATCCTCGATTTCTCATCAGGGGTGAGATTTGAAGAGGAATCCTTATTGTAAGAGTTGCAGACGGTTGAAAGAGAAGACGGAGGGTTTAGGGTTTCTACGGGTGGGAGAGGTTTAAGGCGCTTTGCAGGTGGGAAGAACTCTGTTAGGGTTTTGGAGGCCATCAGGTTCTCCCTCTGCCAAAGCGAATCTCTCTTTCTCACTATTTTCACCAGAGAAGTGAAGCTCGCTCTTGCCCTCTAAAAATGACGACCAGGTGTGGGTCCGGAGCTCATACACGAGCTTTTCGCGCGTCATGGCCGTCTTTCTATTTCCGATTCGGGAAGTTCGGACGATACGAAATTTCGGGCCGAATTTCGGCTTTGAACTTCGGAAGCGTGTCATTAGTAAAACATATTAAATCCCAACATATTACCAAGGCCATTCACCTTTAATGCAACGAGGTCACAATTCTTACTTACATAAGCATTGAATGTGAAATTGGATAGCTTTAATGTGTCACGAAAAAAAAAATTATACTTTGAGCTTCGTCAATACAATAAATATAGCCACCGAATTTGACATTTAATGGTCAAGATTAATTATAACCCCCTTGTACCAAATATAAAAATCTCATTGTATACTTTTCCACATATTAACTTAAGCCGTCCAAAATTCTTGGCTCCTTTCAAAACTACCATCAGGTTCACTTACATGTCTGATGTCGGACAATTAGATCGGTGATTAGGGAGCTAGAAAATATCAAAAATTAAATAAATCAAACTAAAGATTAAGGGGGAGGGGATTTAGGGGGATCCAAAGCATGTTGATTGCTCAAAGGTAAAAAAGGGAATGTTAGCTTTATGGAATTATTAATAATGTATTTGATAACTGATTTAGAATGTTAAAGAAGTTTTGAATACCTATGTTTGATTGACCGTAAAACATTTGGCTTTTAGAGAGCTATAAATGAGCCAGTTTCAACCGTTTAATCAATTTCAATGATATGAGGCCGATACGAAAGAAAAATTTAACACTCCTAATCTTCAACATACCTAACAAAATGATCGTGTCTAACAAAATGCAAGGTTGGCTCTCTCACCCCCTCTCCCAAACAAATACACATTTTATCATATAGCCTTTTTACTAGTATCCAATCCACTAGGCAAACGAAAGCTCATTAGGAAGAATATGGAGGGGGAATCCAATGTTGGCTTATACAATTTGTAACATAGTATAAGAGAAGTATAATAGAATATAGAAAAAATATACAAATAGACCGTTTAATTTTAGTACAAAGAAGTCACAATTATTCTTTTCCATCAAATTTCAAATCAAATGATTATAAATGTACTTGTGACTATACTCAAAAACCAACAAAAAATTCCTCAAAGCTTCGTGACACACCCCACGCTACGCTATATAATTGGTAGGATTAATTACGACCTCCTTGTACTAAAGATAAATGATCACATAGTATACATTCCCAAGAATATATTATTCCTATACATTAAAGTATCCTCTCTTATTGAGGATAAGAGCTGCATCCCAAGCTCTTTTCTTTTTCTTTTTTTTGAATATATTAACCATGGAAATGTGGGGTGGGACATTATGTTGAGACATTAAGTTGCATCCCAAGTTTCAAATCCTGATGCCTGAACTACCCAAAAGGACAACCACGAATTACGTAGAGCTCACTCTCTTGTCACAGAACATTAAGCACATACAGCATGCCTCAATAATAATAAAAAAATTAAACTCCTAAACAGAAAGAAAAATGGAGTGCAGAAGACAGAAGAACGAGTTGAAAACCAGAATCAATTCTATCAAGCTTATACGATGGTGAGAGCAACAAGCATGGCAGCAAACTTCATTAGAGAATAACAACAATTAATATTCAAATTTAAAAATTAAACGAATTATAATTCCCTATGCTTTTTATAGTGCTCCAAGGAAAGTTCCAAGGAGGAATAAAGGAAATGATTGATAAGGAAGACGCTCCCCCTATTATGGAGAACATCTATTCTCACTAAAACAAAAGAAAAAAAGGATTAATTCCACAAAGTTTTCCAAGGAGAAAAAAGTGATTATATTTAAAAGTATCATTCTAACCTATATATCAAAACGCAAAGCCCAGAGCAACATAACATGTGCAACCGAACAAGCCTTAAATTTGCCTCATAACTCAACGGAATTTATTACAACAAAAAGCTCCCACAAAGCCCAAAGTATCTATTTATGCTGCCGGCTGCCGATTCGTTCTCATACAAAAGTTCAACCTTTTCACATCTTTAGCATCCCGTAGAACCCGGTTGATATGCGTTGAAGCAAGTGAAATAGTACATAACCACCAAGAAACAAAGCTGTCACAAGATCTGATGAACGCAGCGATTGAGGATTGTCACTCATTGTTTCTCACTTTCTTGATGGATTTTTATGGAAATACCCTACCTGGATGATCATAAAATAGTAAAATCACATAAGTACATCAATTAAGAAATGCTTGAATAGAAAACACACCCTCAAACAACTCATTTGACTTAATAAAATTAAAGCACAAAAAGAAAAAATGGAATAACATTTCTGGAATTCTACTGAAAGCATCAAGGAAGAGATTTCTTAATATTTTTGCACTTGAACCTTTGTTACAAAGAGTCAACTCAAGTAGCACCTAATCGTGAATGTTTGGTTAACTCCTTTGACTTGATTGGCCACCAGACAGTCTCTAAAAACAATTTCCATTATATACATCGGAAGAAAGGTGCAAAATGGAAAATATCTTTGAACTCTCTTTCTCATTTCAACCAAGGGGTAAAAGAAAAAGTTTAAGCTAATAGAGAAAAAAACCTGGCCATGATACAAAGTAATGTACCCTATCCAAATCTTAAAATCCTAGAAGTGGGATGTGGAAGCTACTAGAACTCTTGCTTCAAGGAACACCCAAATTCCAAACAAATTAAAGGCAAAAGGTCCAACAACATTTGATCAATAAATAAGCTTTTTCTTGTCAAACATTTGACATGCCAGAAGAAAAAGCAAAAAGACAAAAAAGATAGTGAATGAAGACCAAAAGAAATCCGATATTTCCCATGATAATAAGGATCAATCCCCACCAAACAGAAGATAAAATATTTGAAATAACAAAGGAGTAAAAGAAGATATTGAAATAAAAAAGGAGTAAAAGAAATGAGTAGATGGATAATTTACATCAGCAGGGATAATTATCAAACAGGCATAGAAGATATTAAGATAAAGCTGGGGCGATAAAGAACAATATTTCTTTTCTTTTCTTTTTTCTTTTTATTTTTTTTAATTTTTTGAAGAAAAGATGTCCACATATTAAAGTCTAGTTTGTGTTTTACAAAACCATGAGTAATGGGTGACGGCTTCCCACATGCTGGGTGCTAAGAAGTATACAGTAAAACAAGAACAAAAGAAAAGACCTATAATATCCCTTGAGGTACAAAAAGATATGGGATGATAGTTTGTTGTTAGAAAGATTTGGGGTTAGCGAAGGAAGAATCTAGAAGATAGAGAGAAAAAATAGAGGAGCCAAGAATAAAGAAAGGAATAAGAGAAAAGACAAAGTTCTCTAGCATCATTATGTTACTAAAGATCCCTGCCAAACATTGTCACATGAAAGTATACAAAACTACATATGCACCTTGTTTTTACAATATAAACTAATTAACTAAGACTTACGAAGATCTTGGAACTACAAAAACATACAAGCCAGAATGATTATCCATGATCCATCCTCATCCATGAAATAAGCATGATACCGCTGCTCATCAGAACAATTAAGATTATTACTACACTTGCTCAATAGATGCATGCACAATTTTCCATAATGGAATACACTGCACCAGCTAATGAGGTCAGCCAGTGCGCAAAACCTCACCGAGCTGACTCAGAACTTGCCCAACTTGGCTCGGCTCGAGACCATCATGGATCCCGAGCCAGTATGCAGCACCGGCCCAAGTCTTACCTTTTTTCTGGGCCTCCTCTGTTAGATTTTTAAAGACTCGGCCGAACTGAACCTGCTGACCCTGGCTCGGGACCCTCTCAAATGTATGCTTCCAGCTCCAGTTAGAGAGAAGTCCTAGAAAAAAGCATAAACAACCAATGGCCAGTCATGTAGGGAACTAAACTTAAACTCTAGATAACCATTACACATGGACATTGATTCAAAACCCAAATGCAATACATCATAGCAATATGGGAGATACTTAGGTTTTTCAATGCTGAATAACCTTTTCATCAATACACAGGTCACAGCAAAATAAAACAAACCTTGAATACCACTTTAGGTACACTCGAATCAACCAGACTATCAGCCATGTGATTTTCCTTAAATAAAAGTTCCACTTGAAAAATAAAACCAAAAGTAAGACAATATATTCAGAGTTGTCATGAGTACCTCATACAAAAGCCCAGAAACAACAATCAGCCTTTACATTCATCAGTTACAAATCAATACATCAACTTCATAGCAACATGGGACCATGGGAGGAAATAGGGGCTAAAGATAAATCTACTATTGTGGAACACCACCCAAGTCTAGGCCAAGAATTTCACCTATTAGAAGTACCACCTCCAGGAACAACATTATTGGAGTCTAATACATAGAGTAGCATCTTGAACAGAAGGCCAGCGCCAAAATGACATCTACTTCCATTTAAATTTAAACAAATGAGTCAAAATTGAGGATTCGCAAGGCTCCATACTTCCCATATTAATATATGAGAGAATAAGAGATGCTTCATTTTCATGGGCTGGTAGGCTGTTCTCCGATAGTGGCCACAAAAAGTTTCAAAACACAAACCAGCAAGGACTTTCTCGGTTGTGATTCACCAAGTGACAAAATGTTAATGAATAAAAAGTCCATTGCTTTTTGCATGTGTTCCAAATGCATTCTTCATATGCCCAAGATCCTAATCATAGAAAATTCTACAATCCATGCTTAACTTGTGGCCACAATTCTCTCCACTTTGTACAATGTCGTCAGAGCATGATAAGGAGTGTAAGTTTCACGGCTAAACCATTATCTTTGATTATACATGAAATCAAGGTACAACAGTTGTCATTCATCTAAATATTTCCGTAAATTGGACTGCAATAAATTTAAAATTTTCCATTTTTTTTTTTTTGAACATTAACTGTTAGTAGTGGATCAGCAATTTTGTAAACCGTTAGTAGTTTCCGAAAGGGGGTAGCGTTGATAGGAATAGAAACCGAGACCGGTAGCTGAGTCAAAGGGGTACTACCACCTTGACCTCAACCCCATTCCTATAAAATATTCCAAATTAGCAGTCAAAATATAATTTATATAGAGGATGGCTCTTGAGATTCAGGTGTATGGAGTACACCCTTCATATGATGCAAGGATACTTGTATAACCTTAACATACTGGCATCCTATCATGTCAGAACCGATACTGACACTGGCTACTCAAAGGATACAGGTACTGGCTACTCAAAGGATACAGGTAAATATAAAGGAAAATGGTTTGATAGGCTGCAGCCCTATTAAAATAATAAAGCCTCACCTCATAACTCATCAAAAAATTGTCATTCAAGTATTAGAAAACATTTACAATGATCATCTTGGCTTTAAAATTATGCTTGTGAAAAAAACTAGGATTTTACGCTCTAAAAATAGTGTCTATTGTAATAAATTATCTAGACCATTAATTTCACCATAAAAGTGTTCATAGATCCAAAAGATCTCTACTATTTGTTGAGTTTCAAATTTCATTACCGGTGTTGGAAATTGATTTAGAGCCATTATGGAGATTTCAGTTTCCAGATGAGGACTTGAGGTGAGGCTTTATTTTGCTTTCATAAAGCCTAGGCCTTATAGAAACTTCATCCAATTATAAATGATGTAACTATAGAAAATACCACAAGAATACAACATAATATTATGCATTATGATGTAGTGTATATGTGTATCACCGTGCAGCATGCATAGACCAATCAAAAAAAAAGAAAGAAAGTGTGGGATACATATGTTTATGTATTAGGTAGTACTATACATTTAGCAAAGTGGCAGGTAGACAGCATCCTGCATTGGGAGAAATGCACAAAGATCTAACCACATTCTCCATATCCATGTCCATAACTGTATGTGGGCAAATTATTGCATTTTAAAGAAGCAAGTGTAAGCAATTCACACCTTTCTATCCCTAAGAATAATACAATCACTCATGTCCCACTAAAATCAATTTGACTAGTCAGGGCTAGTTAATCAGCTAAAAATAATAATATCTCTAAACACAGAGAACACCTAGTTCATTAGAATACTTACAGGAACTCCAAAATCATAAGCAATAATGTCACGACCATCATCTTGTAGGAGATATGATCCAAAGATTGCTGGGTAGAAATTCAATATAAGCAAGGACAAGCTCAAGAATATCTAAACATAATTTTATTCAGTCAAACTTATCTATCAAAACTTCCCAAATGAACAAGGACACAAACATAGAGAAAAACAAAAAGAAAGAATAAAAGATGCGAATAAATTATATTTCTTACCAGTTCCCATGTATACAAAGCCTGTTGAAAGAGAGAGAAGATGTAAAACACAGCGAACGACAGCATGAGAACTGCAAAAACACCCTTAAAAAGCCCATTTATCAAGTAAGAAACCGCCAATAACAATGATACCTTATCCTACAAACTTTTCCTAATAAGGTCTTTCACCATAACAACCTGTAAAAGCTCAAGGGTGGTCATTTGATTGCCCACCATAGAGTGTTTTATTGTTCACGTTTCTTCTCAAACGATCTGACAATCTCCTCTTGCTCTATTATCAAACAAAACCCAAAACTTTACTATTTCCATTAAACCGAGAATAACTAATAAACTAAAAAATTGGGACTTTCATCTAGGCACACTATCATATGTTAAAATGTTAACGAGACACAAAACAAGTATAGTATTATGATCTTGGCCACATGGAAAACCCCAACATTTAAGTTACTACACTAATTATCTTCAAATGTATGAATTAGGGATTTATTTAAAATTGCTATGACACAAAAAAGACATTAGAAAGTCACTAATTCCCAGGAATAGAATGCTACATATTGGACAATCATATTATATAAAGCATTGAAGTAGAATAGAATTTCAGAAAAAGAGTATCATATACAGTTACAATCTTGAGTTAATAATTTGAAACTAAAATGATAATGCTTGTATCATATACAGTTATCATCTTGAGTTAATAATTTGAAACAAAAATGATAACGCTTTACTTATTTCAATTTGCAAATACACAAAACTTCAACAACACATTGTTATCCAGATTCATAAGCCCCATCTTAAACAAAAAACTCCATCCAAATGAGAATATAGATCTACGACACTCGGTACCGCCATCCCATAAAAACAGATAATAAAACAAGAGTCAGTCAATAAACAAAGCTTCATGGCCATGACCAAAATTTCATGTTTCCATTTCTCAATCTCTTGACATCTCATAATTGAAGAAGTTGAGACCAAAACTATTTCAAACATGTATAACTAAGCTCTCATCCTACAGAAACTAGCCAACTTAAGAATCATATGTTGTTTTATTTCATTGTAATCTCTACCTCAGTTGAAGCACAAAACTAAAACAGAGAAACAAAACTCAATGCAATAGACATTGCTTCATTAAATTCTTTACCGATGCGTGAGGTCATTCTCCTACATTTGCGGTAGGAATGCAAACACACTAACTGTAAACCCAGGAAACCTTGGTTCAACATTTTCTTGCGATGAAATAAACAAACTTCCTGCAATTCCGTTTTAAGAAAAATCACCTGAACTCTTAGTTCAGAAGCATAGCATTGGATCCCAACCCAACATCATCAATAAGCCCTTCTCATTAATTTCTTGGGCTTCTTCACAAAGCTCAGCCTGAGTTTCCTAAGCCTTTTCCTCTTCCTCTCCATCTTCATAGGCAGTGTCTCTCTCTTTGGCTTCTCTTTCTTAACCTTCTTCTTCTCAACAAACCTAGGATCAACTTCATACACAGCAGATTTAATGGTGACCCCTCTTTCTTCTGCCTCTTTGCAAAGCTTATCAGCTTGTTCAGCCCTGCCATGAACACAGAGTTTCCAAATAAGCAAATCAAAAGTCATGCTCCCTGGTTCACATCCATCTTTCTTCATCATTTCAAAAAGTTTCATTGCATGATCAATCCTCTCAATTCCACACAAAACCTTCAGAAAACCATAGTAAGTCTTAATGTTTACACCAAAACCAGAGGCTTTCATTTCCTCAAGCATTTCATCTCCCTCGCCTAATCTTGCAGCTTGATAGAGGCTCCTGATCAAAAGAGTGTAAGTCTCTGAATCAGGGCTGCAACCCCATTCACTCATGCTCTCGAAAAGGTTCATGGCCACTTGGGTCTTCCTTATTTTGCAGTAAGATTTGATCAAAACATTGAAAGTCTCCGTGTTTCTAGCCACACCAGAGGTCTCCATTTCTAACAAGACTTTCTCAGTCTCGCTCTCTAGCCTAAGAGGGTCTCTTTTCCTGCATAACTTGCATACACATTCGAGAATCGAATTGTACGCCGTGGGACCAAGCTCAAACCCACCTCTGTAAATCTCACCAACGAGCCTCTTTGCCTCATCGAGCTTCTCTGAAACACACCAACCCTTGACAAGAGCATGGCAGATCGCCTGATCAGGAAAGATTGAATCAGCCATTCTCTTCACGAGCTCCTCAGCCTCGCGTGCAAATCCATGGTTACACAGAGAACCAACTGTCACGATTAAAGCGTCCTTATCCTTTGAAAACCCCAACTTCTCCATGTCTTCAAAGAAACCCACCGCTTGTTTTGCCCTACCAGCTCGAACCAGCCGATCAATCACTGAAGCGAAGGTCTTTGGACCAGTAGGAGCAGGTGGGGTCTCTGAAAAAAGAAGATTAATGGCCTTGAAATCCTTTCTTCGACCAAAGTAATCAACGAGAGACTTTGAAGTTTCATCAGAGGGGATAAACGAAGATGGGTGTTTCAGAGCGTAAGAGTAAAACCCTAGAACTTTGCGACCAGCTTTGGGGGACGTATTGAGAAGATGAGAGAGAAGTTCAGGAGTGGGTTCGATGTTGCTTTGACCAAGGTTTTCTTCCAAGGGCGAATCGCTATGTAAAAGCTCAGAGGCCTTGACCCAACTAAGAGGAAGCTCAAGTTCATGAGAAGCGATGGTGGAGAAGCGGAGAGAGGAGCGGAAGAGGCTCGCCATGCGAGCAATGGGCACCATTATAGCTGCAGAAGCAGTGATAGCGAGATATCAGTGAAGAGAATGGGGCGCCATATATGATATAGTGGAAGAAACCCGTGTTGTCAAACCGGACCGGTTCACTGGGTTCGACCGGTCTATGGAATTAAACAATTAATAAAAACTAGTAAAATACAAAAAAGGGAAAATGGAGAAAATAATAAAAATCATTTTAAATAATTTTGCAGGTCTATGAATTTTTAGAAAATTTAAAAATTGAAATAATAAAATTAGAGAATAAAAATATAGAGAAAATACATTTTTCAACTGTTTGCATTTTTTTTCTACCTTTATTCTCTTTTACATTTTCCAATCTAAAAGTGAAGAAAATAGTAAAATGACAAAAAGTGTTTTGAACATATCACTTTTTCTTTTGTTTTTACGCATTTTCAGTTCATTTTCTTATTTAATGGCTTTCTACCAAATATAAAAGCCCTTTCTTGTTGCAATCTAAAAATTACAAGTATAAGAAATAATTGCAACCAACAAAAAATTTTTTTTTTTTTTGGATTTTCAGATTTACCAATTAAGGGCTTCTACAAATATCAAATAAAAAACCCTTACAAGTTACATTATCAAACCTTAAAAGTAAACCCAGATATGTAAATAAATAAATACTGTATATATAGAGGAACCGCCATAGTTAGAAATCGCACGGCGACTTTTTGAAAAGGTCAGAAAAAATCACGTAATTTTCATAAAGACGTTTAAATCAAGCTTTTTTTATGGAAAATCATTGTGTAAATGAAATACTGTTATTATGGAAAATCATTGTGTAAAATCATTGTGTAAATGAAATACTATTATTATGGAAAATCAATGTGTAAATGAAATACTGTTATTATGGAAAATCATTGTGTAAAATTAGTTGTTATTATAGATAATCATTGTGTAAATGAAATACTGTTTATAGCAAATCATTTTATAAAGTAAATCATTCTATAAAGAAAATCATATACAAGCAAATTACTGTGATTATTTGTAATAATTGTTTTCATAAAAATACTGTTTATGGCAAAAATTAGAGCTCAAGACAGTCTTTTACTGATGAATGAGAAATAGAGAATGTGACTACTGGACCAAGTAGTCAATATTTTGTTTTTTATTATGTGATAACAAAGATAAACAATATAGCTTAAACTGTAAACTTACAGGAGCAAGCCATTGTACATATAGGATTAGTTTCCCAAACTTAATCCTTCAGCTTTGCTTGTTGTTTTCTAAAAACCCTATTCCTGCTCTTTCTAAAATTCCTCTAAAAATAAGTTAGGGCCTTTTCAGAAAGTAATACAATAAGGGATTTCTTCCAAAACAACATCCCAAAAAACACCCTCTTCAAACTACCCCAAATTAGCATCCCATCTTCCTTTTCTCTCTTTAAAAATCAATTCAGGCATCTTCCATTAGGGTTGATCTCTTCATTCTTCTCTCTTTATTAACCCTAATGATTCATTCTTCCTTCTTCTCACTTTATAAACCCTGATGGTTCATTCTTTTATCTTTATAAACGCTAATGGCTATGAGCCCAGCTCTATGTTTTCTCTTATTTCTTATCTCTCTAAACGGTAATTACAGAGATGCTAAAACCAAACTACTACGAACCTCTTTTCATTTAAAAAAATTATAAAACTTTTACTATAGTTATGGAATGACCATGGTCAACTTGACATAGTTAAATCATTGGAACAAGAAAACCAAAACCGTGTATTTTTTCTTCTTTGGCTAAGTAGATGTAATGTTTAAATATTTAATGAATAAATATATATATTATATTTGTCACTATATCATAACTAAAGTACTTAATGAATAAATTTATATACTATATTTGTTTTTGGTATGTGTTTTTTATAGTATTTAATGGGTAGATTTTATATGGCACATTTTTTTTTTGTATATACTAGTTAATTATGTATTTAGTATTGGAAGATTAGATGAAAGTCACGAGACATCTAAATTAATTGATTTAATTATATTAGTCTAATAAAAAAATTTAGATGATTTAGTTATAGAAATAGTTTATATAAAGTTACAACCTTAAAATGTAAAGTTAAATGAGCACCTCAAAAATCAAGTAGAAAATGTTGTTTTAATGTTAAAATGCCCTCGAATATATCACCTCGACATCATCGATGCCTAAATATGCAAAAAAAAAAAAAAGATTTTGAGTCCCAACACATTATTTAGACCGCATATTTTTAGGATTTTCATATGTTTATAGATCTACTTGATTTTAACCATTTATGGGGATAAAAATTTTATAATTAGAGATGAAAATATATTTTAAGATAATCCTTTCTTTTTTTTACTAAAATTACATGCTATGATAAATTTTGGAGGTTCTTCTTGATTGAATTGTTTAAGGTTGCAACCTTATAGAAACCACACCCATTGGTTACTGATGGCTTTGACATAATTTTTATTTTTTAGAATTTCAAAATTTATAATATTATAAATTTTTTCGATTTTTTTACTCCAATTTTTAGGGCCCAATCCGATATATTAACGATATCTTTATATGAAGTATTTTTGCCGATTTGTATTTTTTACCCGCTTTTTTCATACAATTTTTTAAAATAAAAAAGATTTGTTTCCAATTTTATGGTGAACCGATTTATTGATAGTTCCCGACATGCTAACCATGGGAACAACCAGTGGAATTTTTATAATTTCGGATAACATTCCGAAGGGCTTTTGCAGATAGTAAAAGCCTTTCAAGAATAACATAAAACCGTAACCAATAATTCAAAATACGTTTCAATATGAAAAGCCTAATTTCATAAACCCAACAAGCCAAGTGCATAATTTTTATTTATTTTGAATTTTCTAGGATAAAATAATAAAACAAATACTAAAGTCGATAAAAAATCACCTATTGCCTGAGCTTTGCCATAGATTTGCCTAAAATAGACTAGAAATCTTGTTCTAACTTTGGTGGTGGAAGCTTGTGTCAGAGACTTGAGTGCATACTTAGCGAGTCGAGGACAATCAATAAATCGGTTTACTATAAAATTGGAAACAAATCGTTTTTATTTTTAAAATCGGATAAAAAGGTTGGGTCAAAAATACGGATCAAGAAAAATTCTTAATGTAAAGATATCGCCAATACATCGGACTAGGTTCAAAATTCGGAGGCAAAAAATAAGATAAATATATGTTTAATTTGTATTATAGTTTTCTAGCACAATAGCTTAATAATAATCCCAATAACATAAAATGGCATAGTCCCTTAACAATAATCCTAATAATGTTTTATAATTAAGTGTAGAAGTACACTATGATTCTTAGAGCATATTAGCAGCATATATAAGAGCTTGATGAGACTTCGAAAAATTATCATATTAGACGAATTGCATTGGAATTTGAATCGCCACAACTGGACACATTTTTAACAATGGTGGAAACCCATACTTGTTCCGTAGTACGAGCCTCATACAAGCCGCGCCCCAGTGATATTATCCTTCCTTCATCCGGGGCTGCCGTAACTTGGGCAAGCAACAAGGAAGACAAGACCGGCAAGGAAAACCTGACCCTAACCCTAACCCACTAAGCGCAAGGGAACAAAGAAGAAAGAGAATCCGGCTAGCTATGCTTTGGATCTACGGACAGGTCTCACATGTTGCAAGCCTGCCACCACTCCTTTGGAACTTGGGCTTCTAACCGAATTAGCACTTCTCAGATCAGGCTAGGCCTCTATTTTTTTGTCTGTCATTTTTGTGAAATCAGTAATATTGAAAAGCTCCAATCCGAAATGTCTTGAAGAAGCTACAAATAGGGCTCAGGCAAGACAACAATTGGGACTTCGTTGCTCTGTATTTAGAGAGAGAAAACAACCTTGATCAAGATCAGGTAAAATTTGGGATAACTGTTTTTATACAGAGAAAGAAACCCTATGGCTCCGGAAGATTTAGAAAGGCAAAAAGAGTTGGTAGAGCTGATTTTAAAGATTTTGAAAGAGAAAAACCGTAACCATGCATGCACAGTTGGTAGAGATTTGGGTACTCATTTTTATGGCTCTAGCAAGATTTGGAAAAGGCAATAAGAGATAGTGGAGCTAATTTTAAAGAGAGAAACAAACCCTAATCATGCTCTGTTTGTAGAGATTTGGATGCTCCTTTTTTAGGCTCAAGCAAGATTTGGAAACGCAAGAAGATATAGCAAATCTGATTTCAAAGAGATAAAAGGAAGATGTGATTTTTTTCCATCTCTAATTTGTAATATTTCTTGTTAACCATATGTTTTTTTTAGAAAGTATAAAAAAAATATCTTTTAAAAAAGAAAAATACAAGATACGATTTTTTCGTCCCGTATAATTCGCTTTTTCATAACCTCGTGTTTTCAACGTTTTTCTTAAAAAAAAAAAAAAAAAAGGATTTTTTCTTGAACTTTTCAAAAGAATCCAGTTTTATATATTTTTCATAAAAGCTCATTTTTTTGAAAAAATCGGCATTGAATCACCTATTTACTAACTATGCTTGAGAGTAAAAAAATTCACCTATTGCGTGAGCTTGTTTTCGAAATTAGTGTAAATCGAGTCGACCTATGAACACTTGAAATTTGACGATCCAAAAAATGCATTAAAGATGCAATATTTCAAAGATTTGAAATCCATTATTCTCACGCGCATGCATCTTAAGGTCGAAATGATCAATTTAAGGATTTATGGGTATTGAAATAACCTCTTCTACTGAATTTTTGAAATGTATCCTAGTTTGATTGTTTAGGGCCTTATCCCTATATAAAAAATTTTCTTTATTGGGATCGAAGGAAATTTGAACCTAATTGTTTCTTGGGCATATTGGTCACTTCCAAACAACACTACCGTTTTCTTAGGGTGAATTTCAATGGGCAGATAGCATTTACTCTTAGGGTGAATTTCAATTGGCAGAGAGTAGTAATCGCGAAAAAAAGTTTATATAAGGATGCTACCCTATAATGTAGAACTACGAATGTCCCTAAAAATCTATCGAAAAATGTAGTTTTAATGTTGAAAAGCCCTTTGATTGATCATCTCGACATCGAGATGTATGACTATGAAAAATAAAAATATTTTAAGTTTAAAAAATAATGCATTTTACAACATATTATCTACACCATTCATTTTCAAGATTTTCTAATGTTTATAGATCTACTTGATTTCAACCATTTTTGAAATTTAAAATTTTATAATTAGATATAAAATTAGATTTTGAGATAATCCTAAGAATATTTTACATCAAAATTATATTCCATGATAAAATTTGAAAATGCACTTTACCGCTACACCTACAGATGCATCCCTGTGCAAACTGCATCCCTACACCTACGGATGCATCCCTGTGCAAACTGCGTCCGCTACACCTACGGATGCATCTTTGTACAAAGGAGTTTTTTTTCTTAGTATGACGTTAAGGAAATTTAGGAGAGCTTATAAGTGGAGTTTTCCCAAAAACCTGGACTCAAAAGTGTTGAAAATAGTACCCGCGGCCCAAGCCAGCCCGCACCATCGGTGCAATCTTAAACAGCGCAAGCTCGAGCCACTAAATTTGGCCTAAGGCCTAGGACCATGCTTTAATTTTGGCCTAGTGCCTGGGATTGGGCGTGGACATGGCTCAATGGTCATGGCCCCAGCAGGCGTTGCTTTTTACCAAAACAAAAATATGTGAAAGAAACTGTGTAATCTCTATTGCCTAGGGCACAAGCCGCGCCCAAGGGCTAGGCCAAGCTCGCCCCGGCTTGACTTCACCAGGCCTTTTGGCCCAGTCTGGGCCCCCAAGTCCAACGCAAAGCAAGAACCAGCCTTGCCGCAACTCATGCTACACTTCCAGCATAGAGCATTGAACATGGAACTTGATACTTTTGGGCGGTCCATCTGAGTTATCCCTTAGCATTTCCAGCATAACTACATCTCCGTCAAGTGGTGTTTCAAACCTCGGATTGTATCAAAAATTCAAAATGAGCCTAAATTTATGATCTAAAAAACATTTTTTTAAAAAAAAAGTTTATATAGAGCCTAGGCTCAAAACAACCAAATTAGAGCCTACCTCAAAAAATTCACTTAAAGAAGTTGTTTTGATGTTTAAATATCCTCAAATTTATCATCTCAACAACAAGATGCATGAACATGTCAAAAAAATAGATTTTAAGGTTTGAAAATAATGTATTTTATGACGCATTTTGGGACCGTCAATTTTAAAATCTTAATAAATCTGTCGATCTACACTACTTTTAATGCTATAAACTTCATAAATAAAGATGAAAATATATTTTAAAACTATCGCTAAGATTTCCAGTATTGAAACCACATTTCTCGATACTATTTGAAAGTAGGTTTTAATTTGATTGTTGAGAGCCTAGGATCTATGCAAACCAAACCCTTTAAAAAATTAAAATAGAGCTAAGGGGGATCTTGAAGGGACCTAATAAAAAAAATAAGCAAGCTTAAAAAAGGGAAAAAATAAACAAAGAGGGTTTTTTTAGGGAAGAGAGTCGAAACCGATACCATTCCGGAATTGGTTCGGTCCCAAGGGAGCTCGGACACGGTGGTCCAACTCTTAAATTTCTTAGTTCTAAAATAATGCCCACAACGTCGACAGTGCGGACACCTTCAAAAAATGCAACATCTCTACATCCAAAGCGTATTTTGGATATTTCGACAAAAAGACGAAGGGTAAATAAGTCACTTCCAATACAGGTACAGCTTACAGCCAACTCACTACTCAACCGCGCAGCCACACGAACCGAAGCCACACCCTAAAAACTTGAACATCCTGACCTTTCCCAAGTACCGCGACTTGGTGGGCTCACGCCCAACCGAGCCCACCAGCTCCCTCAGCGTGTCGGGCTTTGACCCACCAGAGTCTACTAGCCTCCCAAAGTGCTCCTTATTCTGCTTCTCTAAATTACGGATTTGCCCCTGAAGCTCCTCCATTTTCCGACCCAGCACGCAGACCGTGTGGTCATTTCTCATCCTCACAACGCACCTGGCGAGCTCAGTAGCCTTCTGGCTCAGAAACTTGTTTTCCGATATTACCCTTCGGTTCTCTTCCGTAACGGCCGTTATTTGGTAGGCCAGTTTCCCGTTTTCTGTCAATAAAACAAGACGCTCCGACTCCAGAACTTCTAGAAGGCTCTTTTGCAAATCAATCTTCTTGGACGTGTCTTTCAGGGATTGGTTGGTTTGCTTCATTTCATCCAATATAATTTCTCTCTCTACAGTTGCCATGACGAGCTCAGTTACGAGAATGCCCGTGTCGTAACATGGGGCAGCAGCGACTTTTAGGGGGGACTTGTAGGGGTGGTATTGGAATTGGTCAGTTTCTTGGGAGTGCTGAAAAGAGATGGAACTTTCGGCATCGGACTCGATTTCGTTCTCGGCTTTGATTTCGCCGAAATTTTTGAGGTGGGAGAAACGCTCAGCTAGAGAGAGAAAGTTTTGGTGGAGGTCATAAAGAAGGGAAACGAGCTGGGGCCTGCTTTCGTAATAAGTTTCCGCGCGTTGGGCAAAAGAGTTGAACGTCTCTTGTTCAGCCTGGGACTTTAATACGGCCCGCATCCTCCCTTCAACATCTGTTGAATGGTTTTTTCACGTGGATTTAGAGAGAGAGAGAGAAAGTATAAGTACCATTTTTCACGTGGTAAACAATGGTGAGTTAGAAAAGGTCCCGGGTGAAATCCATCACCACGTTTGGTGCCATGTGAAAATATTTCACCGGAATTATTTTCACAAGAAAGAACTTCCATCTGCAATTAGATTAGGAGTAGGTGATCTTTTTCACTAATTAATCCCAATGTATTTTTTCAAACCAATTGGCTTACAGTTGGAGTGAAACAACACTCCGACACCCAATCACGTGAGAATATTTTGTTATGCAAAAATACTTCTCATAAAATATTTTCAACCATACCAAACATACCCTATTAGAGAGAGAAAAAGAAGTAAAACTGATGACATAGCAGGTAAAGGGAGACACAAACCGTCAATTAATGGTTTTCTAATAAATCCGAGTGATGTTTTACTTGTATTACATACATGAAAGCTGGTAGGAAATAACAAATATTTTCGTCCAAGACGATTATCAAAAAACATAGATACGATATTAACATTTACCCGAATGTTAATAAACAAATACAACGGCAACAATTTCAACTCAATGTCATGTGCCTGATGGGATTGTGAAGAATAAATCAAAAGAAATGAGTAAGATGTCACATAAGGTCGCAACACTCAAAATAAGGTCGCAACCTTAAAATGTTGAATTACATATGCACTTCAAAAATTCATCCTAAAAAGTTGTTTTAATGTTGAAGGGTCCTCAAATTGATCATCTTCACATTGAGATGTATGAATACATATAAAAAAATGATTTTGAGTTCCAAAATAAATACATATTGCAACACATTATCTAGACCGTCTATTTTCAAATTTTCATATGTTTATAGAACAACTAGACTTTTGCCATTTTTAGACTATAAAATTTCATAGTTAGATATGAAAATAGACTTTTAGATAATCCTATGAATTTTTTACAACAAAATTACATGCTATGATAAGATTTGGAAGTTCGTCTTAATTAGATTGTTTAAAGTTGCAACCTTATAGAAACAATACCCACTGTTTAAAGTTTTCCTCTTTTTTTTTTCTTTTCTTTTTTTTTTTAGAGAGGGAGGATTTTGGAGAGAAGACTTAAAGAGCTAGAGGAAAAGTTTAAATAGAGCTAGAGGCTCTAAACAATTAAACTAGAGCCTGCCTCAAAAATTTCGGTAGAAGAGGTTGTTTTGATACCCAAATATAATGAAGTTGATCATCTTGACATCAAGATACATGATCATGAGAAAATAATAGATTTCAAGTGTTGAAAATAGTGTATTTTGTAAGGTATTTTTATACTGTCAATTTTCAGGATTTTCATAGATATATTGATCTACACTATTTTTTAAGCTTTAAATTTTACAAATAAAGCTTAAAATATATCTTTAAAGCCTATGAGACCTTTCTACATCCATGTGTGTAGGCCCCAAAGGATCACCATTAAATTTGACACAGATCACTAGAAAAAGTATCACATGGATGCGAGGCTTGACTTTTTTAGAGATTTGTGTAAAATTTAATGGTGATCCTTTGGGGTCCTACACACAGAGGTGTGGGAGGTCACATAGGATCATTACTCTATTAGAAAGAGTAGAGTAATGATCGTAGGAGACGCTACACCCGTATGTATAGGACTCTAAAAGATCACCGATAAATTTGGCTTAGATATCTAGAAAAGTTATTTTTTAAAAAATTATATCAAATTTATTAGTAATCCTTTGTGGTCCTGCACATATGAGTGTGGGTCTTTAATACCATATTTCTCGATACTATTTTAAGGTAGGCTACAATCTGATTGTTTAGAGCCTACAAACTAGACAAACGGCACCCAAGAAATAGAAAGAAGTGTTACTTAAGATCTTGTTTGGACCATGTGCGCTCAAAAAAGGGTCAACTGGTTCGAGGGTAAGAAGATAATTACTTGTAATCCCCATACCATCAGAACGTTTTTCAAACCAAGGTGTCTTGGGAGAGGGTACAAATATAATTTCCCCAAGAAAATATCGTTTGCAGCATATGCTCTGGCGAGAACATGCAATGCAAGCTAGTACAGCAATAAAATGGAAATGCCTAGGTTGTGTATGAACATTTTATTTAAGCAGATGGTGAAGTGATCATGTAAGTTTCAGTAAAACCAATGTATTAAATTTAGTGATTTTCGATCTGCATCATCAATCTGATGGGAATCGTTCTGGACTAAACCGGTTAAAAGATGCTATGAGTTTTGGCGGGGCTCCCCTTAAAACCCTTACCCTGTGAATACTAATTTTAATGATTATTTGGGAAAATATTTCTATACCCTTATTTTTAGGTTTCTTTTCACAATAGACCCAAAGTTTTAAAAGATATTTTAGAACATAAAAATTGTAGATTTTATTTCTTCTAACCCTAAGTTAATTTAAACATGTTTTTTAGGCAAAACAAATCTAAAAAAACATATATTTTCTAAAAGACATTCTCCCAAAGTTCTAGAGAGAGAGAAAGGTTTCATAAAGGTGAGAGGTTGATGTTAGAGAGAGGAAAGATAGGTGTTTCGATCAACACAGGAGAGAGAGAGAGCGGGGAAGAAAGAAAAAAAAACATCGGTTTGGGTATATAAGTGAAGAGAGAGAAATCATTGGATTAAAAAAGAACATGTATTTCTAACATTTGTTTTAGGGTATATAAGTGAAGAGATAAATGATTGGATTTAAAAAGTATATGTTTTTTTCATATTTGTTTAAATTAAACAATAAGTTTAAAATGGCGGGATTAGAAGATATTTTTTGAAATCTTGGGTGAAATATAAAAATAGAGAATACGGAGATATTTTTTCTTATTATTTCATTTTAATTATCACTAATGCTTTTAGAAGTCACTAATTTGGATTTATCCAAACCAATACCCATTACTGATCCATCCTCATTATTTTATTTTAATTATCAGTAATACTATTAGAAGTCACTAACTTGGATCTATCCAAACCAATACCGATTACTAATCCAAAAATCAGAGATCTAATCCACCATACGGATCCGAATTTGAACCTGGTAGATGCAGTGCAAACATGAGCAGTAGCGCAAAAGAGATAGTCAAGAAAAAGGCTTGGTTCGTTTTGTGTTCATTTTTTTAGCATGTAAATAGCATATGCACCGTCAGATGCGACATAGCAAAATCCAGGCCACCAGGTAGACTTATCCAGCGCCGACGCAATTTGTCAGGTATTAAAAACCCAAATTTCGGAAAAACATTTTGTTTTAAAAACATATCGAAGTATCACTATTTAATTTCTCATTATTCAAATTCAAAACAAAGAACTCACAAACTTTTAAGGCGAGAAATCAACAATTTAATTTGATAGTGACTCACCCGCAATTGTAGATTGAAGCCATGAAGACATAGTAGAGATTTGCATGCCATCTCTCCCAGAGGTCATAGAAGAACACCTTAACATATTTACCTGCAATTGCACACACCTTAACTTTAACGGATATCATCGTAAACTCGTAACTGGGAAACAATCAACCATAAAAATTGTAGCAAAAAAAAATTAAGAATAAAATCCATTTCAATTTAGAGATTAAAAATAAAATCTGCAATTTCACTGAAGTTGAAATTTTTGGGATGTGGAAAGTATTATAATTTTACCAAGTCTTTTTACTGATGCGTAATTTTACTAATTCTTAAACAACATATTAAGCTCGAATTATGGCTATGTGTGATTATCGATAGCACAAATAGAAAAATTATCAAAATAACCCTTAATTTAATAACTTAACTTTAAAGCATATCTTTTCCCTATTGATTAGTGCCGGTCCTGGGAAGAAACAAGGACATGCCAACTTCGAACTCAGTCCTATAAAGAGGAACAAAATTTTAGGAAGAAAATACATAAATTAAAACCATTCACTTTGGATATAAGCCCTCACAATCATCGCTTTCGGTTGGGTTTGAAATCGGGTAGTTAAAGATTTATTATTTTTTAGGCATAAAATCTTGATAAATTTTCTTGAATATTACAAAATACTTGTATCTATTGAAATTTAGATTGATCGGTTAAAAGTGATTATGACCTTTTTATACAAAAAATAAATGATTTAATAGTATACAATTATCCCAAACCCTTTAAAAAATTGTAGAATTTGAGGGTAATAACCAAATAAATGCAATAATTATTGAATTTTAAAAATAAAATAAGAACTTCTATAAGCCTACGACAATAACCATTAAATTTTGAGGAGTCAAATTTACTCTCAAACCGATCTAAAGTGGTAGGTGTCGAATACAGATATCAGGACATGGGGCCACAGATCCAACGGTCCAGAGCTCCCCTTGTGTCAACTGACGGCGAAGATCACCATCCATTTGAAACCAGACACTAGTTAGGTATGCGTTTTGTCACGTTCTTTTCAAGTTTTTGAGTCTCCCAAAAGTGGATCGTTTTAATTTGACGTAAGGAGCAAAGGGCCAAATCGTCCTTTTGTCTTCTAACAACTGGGTAGCGTCCCATCGGGTATAAAAGCACATGTCATGTGTACAGAGTACTGCAAGAAGAGTACACTCCTTGTCTACAGAGTACTACGAGGGGAATCATAAAGTTCCTTGTCCTTTTATCTGAGTAAAAAATCAAATTCGTAAAGCAAAAGTAAAATCAGAGACTCATCTTTCAATTCAAATTGGCCCTGTTTAGATTCCAGAAGATTTTTGAACGGCACCTCTTTCTTCTTTTCTTTTTTTTTTTTTTTTCCTTTTTTTTTAAAAAAAAATTGAAAATTTTTGAAATTTAAAATTCTTTGGCACAAATTGGAAGGAGAGTGAAAAGGCAAATCATAGGGGAGAATGGCCAAAAGAGATGGTATACAACGCGACTGCTGACCTTTACCATAGAGAGGTCACCATTATTTACAACCAAATTTAATAGTTTACCACATAGAGGTCACCATTATTTACAACCAAATTTGATAGTTTACCACATAGAGGTCACCATTATCTAAAACCATCCAATATGAAATTTGATAGTATGGATGTTTCATAAAGTTTGAAAAAAAAAAATTGAACTTTGAATTTGACCGATGAGATTAATACACCCATCCATTTTCACATTTACTAGTCAAAGTTAATTGTTACCAACTTATAACATAGGTAAAAAAAAAAATATCAATAAAATTCTAAAACTCTAAATAAATTAAGAAACTAAAAACTATCTTAATTTATTTTTAACTCTTGAATAAATTAAGAGACCAAGATAATGACAAACTTAAAAACAATAATGTATTGAACAAGTAAAACCTCCCCTCAAAACACCTTGAAAATTGGAGTTTTGACAAAAACCTTAAGCCTTGCCCATTATAGTTATGAAAATAAATTAGGACTTATGTTTATATCCATTATCTTCTAAAAATAAATGTTCAAAGAACATGCAACATCTCTACTAATTTTTTAAAGTCAAATGTCATAGCCGGACTGAAAAATGATTTTAGAGCCACCATTGACCATTCTTTCAACAGTAGCATTCAAGGGGAAGCTATGTTCCCATAGAGGCTACCCTTATAGAAAAGGAAAATGGTTTCATGGGGCTGCGGCCTTATTGAAATAAATAAAGCCTCAATTCATAACTCATTGAAATTTACAAAATTCAAGCGTAGACAACCTTTAAATCGATCGTCTCAACTTGAACATTATGGTTGTAAAAACAATTAGTATTGCAAATTCTAAGAATAAAGTACATTGCAACAAATTATCTAGGCCATCCAATTCACCCTAAGAATAAGTGTTCACAGTTCCAAAAATCTGTAGCATTTTTTTAGTTTAAAATTTTATTATCTATGTCGAAAATTGATTTTAGAGCATGGAGATTTTCGATGCCAAAAGTGCTTTACGAATAAGGATTTGAGATAAGGCTTTATTTTGTTTCATAAAGCATGGGCGTCGTAGCACCTTCATCTTACAAAACCTCATAATTTTAAAATAACCATATGATTCTTTCAGTGGATCCCCACATTTAGAGAATCGTTCTAAGTACCTCTAAGAATTGTCAATCTAAACAAATGTTATAAAACCCAAATCCGGAGTTGAGATTGGTGGGGCAAGTTCGAACCCATTTCAAGTTTAAACCCATTTCACCGTATGAGAATCCATGAAAAATAAATTAAATAAGAAGTTAAAAATAAATAAATAAATAAAGTTTATGGTACAAGGTTGATTTATCCTATCAGGTCCTCCGACTCTGGGGCAGACTCACTCATTTCGCTCACAAAATCATCGAGTCTATGAAAATCCATAATTGGGCGAGTCCATGAAAATGAGACCTATTTGGATCCGGGGAGTCTCAACTGATTCCCAGTAGTGAACATTGATTCCGGATCACAAATGCAGATTCACTGCCAGCAGTTTTTTAACACTATTCTACACTAAGAAAATGGAATTAGAAAACACTAAAAAAATAATAATAATACTAATAAAATAAAACAAAACGAAACAAAATAAGACAAAAACAAAAAAAAGGTGCTTGTCACCCATGAATACCAATTTCAAGGGCAATGAGAATGCTAGTGCATAGAAAAGTAGTACAAGTATTTCCTTAATATTTGAAATTTAAAGAGTTTAAATGAGATGAAAAAGTTCATAGTGTTTGATACTCAGGGGACAAATACCCTGTGGAGAATGTTAAATATATAATTAAATACCAGCCTTTAGTTAACAGCACGCCGTTTACAGGGTCTACAATAGCTAAGTGGACTACAGAAAGTTCACACTTAACATCGTGACAAATAAGTAGCAGTGATATTTATGGTGCAAGTCGTAGACTAAAAATAAAGAATTATTACAAAATAGACGATTATTGCCACGTAAAATTTCAAAATCTCTCGCCTCTAAATCGTAGAAAAGTGGTAGAAATATTACCTCTGTAAATTGAACGTTTGAGCGAGCCTTCAAAATTCCAAATGTGTCATTTAGAGAGAGAAACGACCTCGGATACAAGCCTTCCCCTTTCTGATCACTGTAACACTCCTATAAAAAAAAGGAAAAAAATTAAAAGAAAACCCATTTTCAGAGCTCAGATTAGCAAAGGAAAAACAGAAAAAAAAAGTAATCATAATGAGCTAAAAAATGGAGAAATGGAGAACGCCATTACCTTTCTGAACCAGTGCTGTTGGCTGAGCAGTTAGCCACTGAGCAAAACCCTAACGCCGGGGCTCAAACTTCTTCTTCGGTCCAAAATTTCGGCGACTTCGGAGCTCAAAGAGAAGAAACTGGGGTCCGGAGAGGGTCGGAGCAGGGTATTTAGCCCACAACCACCGTGTTGGCCACGAAATTTCAGTATCGGAAACCTGGGGCCGAAATTTCAGCGGGACGAAGTTTGAACTTCAAAATTTGAGGACGGGAATGTTACCGAGGAGAAAGCCGGCTTTTCGCCGAAATTTGACAGCGCTCGAAATTGCGTGTCGAAGAAGAAGAAGAAGAAGTGCAGAAAAAGCTTTACATAGCAAAAGACATTGGCTGAGATGAGGAGGCTACCCAGTTACAATCGGACACGTGGGCAAATGTAATATAAAGTCTGAACGAGGTCCCTTAGTTTTAAAGTTGAAATTTTGAAATAAGGTGACGGTTTGTTTAGCGGGCTAGCCCACCGTCCGACGGTGGAGATTACAAGTTGGCTGGTGTGGATTTGCAGTTTGCAATCTCCATCGTGCACCCAGGTTGAAACAATTTACCTTGAAATAATCATGAATTTTTGTCTTTTTTATGGGAGGCTGGATGAGATCCACGAAGCCCCGAAATGCCAAAAGATGATAAAATTCTCAGATTGTAACAATCCTGGCGAAATTAATGCATAGATTGGTGTGCCCACCATATACCGTACAATCCATTTTTAAATTTTACTGAAATATACAGTTTTTCAATTGGAAACACATCACTTTCTTAAAAAATGAGTTTAATATTAAGAGTTTAAGTTTTAACGGGTGTGTTAAAAAACGGAAATCGTGAAAAAGGGATCGGATCGGCTAAGAAATCGAAAATCGTCCGGCTCTAGAGAGAACCAGACGCGGTTTTAGAGAGAACCGGACGATTATGCACAGTGACTCGCCGAGTCACTGTGCAGAATCGGTGAGTCCGTGAAGAACACGGGTTGCACAATGTTCTTCACGGAATTCTTTGAAATTTGTCATTTTTTATCATTTTTTTTGTTTTTTTCGGCATGTGATCAAATTTGCAGGGTGTAAACAGCTTTATTCAGCTTTTTAATGATTAAATGGTTGAAAATTTTGGTGTTTTTGGATCACGAAAAATTTGGTGTTTAGGGTTTCCGCCTTTTCTAAAAGTTTCATGGCAAATAGGGCATGAATCTTTCAAAATTTGTAAGGCATTTTGATCTTAAAGCTGTGAATCAAAACCTTTTGTTACTAATTTGTGATAATCGTTGAGAAAAACAGAGTTTTTTGGAGATTGAAGGCTTCGGTTCAAAAAATCAGGTAAGAAGTTTGGGTTTTTTTTTTTTCCGCCATTTGATTTATTTCACGGCATATTTTAAACATAATGAGTTCAATAATTAGGGTTTTTAATCTTTATTGTGTCTAGTATGATTTAAAATTTTCAATTTTACGTAATCTGGTCAATTACGGCATGAAATTTGAGATGAACACTGAGATGTCTGCGGAACCAAAATTCTGCTGTTTTTTTTTTTTTTTCCGCCTTTCGATTTTGTTTTCATGATATATTAGAAATAATGTGTTAAAAATTTAGGTTTTTGATTCCTTATATTGTTCTTTATCAAAAAATATACTCAATTTGATGTAATTTATTCACTT